CATCAGGAGTAGTTTGCAGCAGGATTACCAATCAAGCTGGTCAGGTCCTAAAGGACAAAGCTGCCTGGCTGGGACTGCAGCAGGTGGTGACGCAACCAACAAAAGGGAAAAACATAGCTGATCTCATCGTCACGAATTTCCCAGCTGCAGATGCATCTGTCCATGACAGGATTGATAACAGCGACCACCGCACAGTCCTGTGGAGACAAAGCCTCATCTTAAACTGGAGAATACCCTCCATTGTGTTGAGCGGCACTAACATCGGCTAAATGGGACAGACTTGGAACAGATATAGGAACTCAAAACCAGATATCTATGAGGCTTTGTGGGACATCAACAGCAGCAGAACTTACTCCAGCACAATCTGTAACCTCATGGCCCAGCATATCCTGCACTCAACCATTACCATTGATCCAGGGGATCAACACTGGTTGAATGGATAGTATAGGAGGGCATGCCAAGAACAGCACCAGGTATACCTAAAAATAAGGTGCCAACCTGGTAAAACTACCAAACAGGACTATCTGCATGCCAAATAGCATAAGCAGCAAGAGTTAGAGCTAAGCCACCCCATAACCAATAGATCAGATCTAAGCTCTGCAGTTCTGCCACACCCAGTCGTGAATGGTGATGGACAATTAAACAACTCACTGGAGGAAGCATGCCAAAAATCCCCATCCTTACTGACAGAGGAGCCCAACCTATCCATGCAAAAGATAAGACTGCAGAATTTGCAACAATCTTCAGCCAGAAGTGCCAATTGGATGATCCATCTCAGCCTTCTTCAGAGGTCCCCAACATCACAGATGAAAGTTTTCATCCAATCTGATTCATTTCAAATAATATTAATAAATGGATGAATAGTGCAAAGGTTATGGGCCCTGGCAATAGTACCGATGACTTGTGCTCGAGATCTTGCTACCCGCCAAGCCAAACTGTTTCAGTACTGCTACAGCACTAGCATCTCCCGACAATTTGGAACATTGCCCAGGTCTGTTGAGCACAAAAACACAGAGCAAATCCAACCTGACCAATCTCCCCTCAAGCAGTCTACTCTCTATCATCAGTAAAGTGATGGAAGGTGTCGTCAACAGCGCTATTATGCAGCGCTTACTCAGCAGTAACCTGCTCAGTGACACCCAGTTTGGGTTCCGCCGGACACTCAGTTCCTGATCTTATTACAGACTTGAACCACAAATTCACAAACAGCTGAATTCCTGAGGTGAGGTCAGGGTAACTGCAGAGTCCTGCACCAAAACCACTTATTTCCACTTCAGTGACAATGACCTGACCCCACCTTAGTTTCAGCTCATCTGCTGAACCTCTCATCCATTCCTGCGTTACCTCTTGACTTAACTATCCACACACACTCCCAGTCAGCCTCTCACATTCAACGTCCCTGTAATCTCAAGAATATCTAAAATTCTGCTGCACACATGTTCATTTGTACCAAAACCTGTTCACCCATCACTGTTGTGCTCCCTGACCCATAAAGGCTCCTATCTATAAGCAACAACAATTTAAAATTCTCACTCTTGATTTAATTCCTGGCTGTGATGATCCCTATCTCCCTGCACCACACAACCTTCGAGACTCCAACAATGCATTTAATCATTGCTTCACAATTGGAGGCTGTTTCTACAGTTGCCAGGCAACATGGTCTGGAATTCCCATGATAAACCTCTCAGGTTTGCTTTCCTTCTTTAAGATATTCATGAAAACCTGCGTATTTGGTAATGCTTTTGGTCACCTGACCTAATATTTATATCTATGGCCTTACATCAAAAGTTCCTTGATAACATTTTTGTGAAATTATAAACATGATAAAAATAAAAATTACACCATACACCATCAGCTCTTCAGTATCGCTAGATGAATGATCTGTAACTTTTCAAATAACCGCATTGTGGGAGCACCTTCATCATACAAACTGCAGCAGCACAAGAAAGTCAAACATCACCTTTTCCACAGGCAACAGGGCTTTGGCAATGATCGCTGGTATCTGTGGAAGGAGAAACAGAGTAAATGTTGCAGAAGTGCAAAATGAATGACATGGAATAAAAATGCTGTAGAATTTGATGGTCTGAAATGGAAGGGAAATGCACTCTCTTTCTCAGAAAATATTTCCTGACTGTGAAAGATACCATTCAAAAATTAATCTAGTAAGAGAGCAGCACATGGTCAGGTGGTGGGCAGCAGTGGAAAATTCATTTACAAAAGGTCTATGAAAGTAACAGTAAAATACAAAACAGAGATCAAATATATCCACCATTACAGACTGAAGAGATTAGATACCGACAAAGAGATGATCAGGGAGCACAGAAGTGAGTAAGAGCAGTG